TTATCTTCGGTGGACACGAGAGCGAAATTTGCAAACAAATCGCACGACGGTTTGAACAGATCCCAGTGATGACAACTGATGTAGAAACCGAGTGGCAGCTCTTTAAGAGCGGCATACTGGAGGCTGCCGCTAAATGCGGCGGATTTAGATGGGTTGGCCTTCCTACTGGAGATTAGAAACGAATTTCGTCGTAGACACGAGAGGTTCAACTTTCTTCCTCGAAAAGAAGGCTATACTGTTCAGTTGGTTTGGAAACAAAAACCTCTCAACTCGAAGAAGTGCCCATTGCGGCAACGAAAGCTGATTCATGAGAAAATCTCTGTGAAGTGCAGGAGTGGAATATATAGACAGTAAACAAGGTACCTCGGTTGATCATCCGCTGCATCCGAGATGGAAAGAGCTGCAAACTGAGAATCCTATTACCGAGGATATGGACATTCTACGACAATCGAAAATGTATTTTGAGTAACTGCATCACTCCGAAAATCCGCAGAACCACTAACTGAAGAGTAGCAAGCGAAGGATTTTATTCTTTCAGAAGTATAAGCTACAGAAGCGGTAAAATGTTTGAAAAGTGGCAAGGCTACTTGAATCGATGAAATTCGCCTTGATATGGTTAAAGCGGTAAGAGAAGAAGGCATGTATGTCTGTAAAACTGCAATGGCTACGGCAGGACACTAGTGGAGTGCAAAATAGGGGGTCGTAGTACCCATGTTCAACATGAGGGATCATAGAACGTGTTCCAATTATTCAGACATTGCCTTGTCGAGCCTCCCGGAGAACGATTACGCAAAGGAGTGTTATGAAGAAGTTGTCCTTGAACAACTGGCTGTAAAATGCAAAGTGAGCAGTGTAGTCTCAGCCTAAGCACATCTGATCTAGATCTATGCCTTGCGCCAGACTGTTGAGAAATCCTTTGAGTTCGTTTATCAGATTTGCATATACAATGTATACCTGGAGGGAGTACATGACCGGATCCGGCACAACTAATTGGGTATGCGCAAAAACATTTGAGGTCGATGGCCAATTGCTACGGCGATCCATTCACTATATGCTGATTGCAGGTACTGTGTCAGACTGCATCGCGTTAAGTCGAAACCCTTCAACGTTCGCACTGGTCTCCCCCAAGGCTGCGTCATGTCCCCCTTCTACATGGATAGAATAGTCAGGAGCTGCCAAGGCGATGAGGGTATCGGTGTAGGAGATGTGAAGTCGAGAAGGATGCTGTTTCCAGACGACCGTGTTTTATTGGCATCTTTTGAAACTGATCTCCAGCGCTCCTTAGAAAGGTTCGCAGCCGAGTGCGACTTGACCGACATGCATGTGAACGCATCTAAAACGAAGAGCCTAGTGCTTTCTCGTTCTCCTGCCCGTTGCTCTCTTCAAATTAACGGAGTGGCAGTGGAACAGGTGGAGAAGTTCTAGTACCTCAGAGTCGTACTTA